AAAAACCTTACGTAGACATAAACCTTCAGTTAGTTTTAGTAAAAGAGAAATCTTAAGAGCTGAGCAGAAATCTATCTATTTCCACATGCATACTCTTGTATCAGTTATGTGCAGTGAACGCACAAGTGACTAAGAAAGCCAGTTTACAGCAAGCCCAGCTTGACACATGCCAGTCTCCCATGAGACAAAAAGAAAATCCAGGTAGCATTACACAAGAGAAAGGTACATTTCTTTCTCTGATCTGTTTAGTGCTTACAAGATTTAGATAACATGCTTATCATGAAGCAAACGGAGATATTTTGCAAGTTTTACTTGGTGTGGTAACACCTATTACCCTTTATACCTTTGTAAATACCCTGAAGTTCACAAGAGTAAGGGCATAAATAAAGCTAATAAACACAGCTTGACTGCAAATACCTCTTGGTTTTTCACATACATATCTAATTAAAAGATGAGGACGAATTTTTGTGAGGTGGTAATAAAATTCAATTATTTACATAAATATCTAAACAAAATAGTCACACGGCCAGAATAAGTTACCATCATATTTTTAATTACTGAAGCAAGTTCTGGTAGGAGGGAATGAATAATACTAAAAGATTTAATTAGTGAATTCAGAGAGGGGTTATTTACTGCACTAACATCAACAATGTAACGTCTAACATAATTAAGGATCAAAAAAAGCCTACTACAGCATTAACATCTAACATAATTAGAGATCAAAGAAAGTCTATGAAGCAAGCAAGACCCCTCTTTAGGAAAAGATATGGTCTCCCAGGCTTTAATTGTTGCGTTTCACCCCCTTAAGTTTCTGTTCCAAGTACTTTTATTTCCTCTAGAATATTTAACCATAGATAATTAAATAATTTTTGTAAGGAATCAAATAACCTGCAGCAACAGACTGTTAATTCTACAGAAGGTAGAAGTTAAAAATGGCTGCTGAACACTGACTTGACTATATCATTACTTATGAGAGTAATGGGGTAAGGTGAAACAGGACATGTCACTGTTAATTAACACAAATGCTAACTAAGAGCATTTTCCCAACATGCATAAAGGGTCCTTCTGAGCCAGGTAGTTTCAGAAGAGCTTTGGAATAGCAGGTTTGCCCTATAACCATGGGGTTACAGGGCAGAGGCCTCGTTCTACTTACACTTTGCTTGTCCTTCACCTTTTGATGATTCTCAGGCATGTGCAGGATTTAGAATAGGACTAGATCTCCTGCCAGGAGGTAAAAATACCCTTTCTCCTTAAATGAATTAGGTGAAAGTTTGTGATTTTTTTTTCCACCAAGTTTTCTTCCACCAAAGATCTGTCATACATATTTCTGCTATTTAGTGAGTAAAACCTTGACCTGCTCCATGCTTCCCGATTGTACTCAGGAAACTATTCCAATCAGTGAAAATGATGCCTCCTCCACCTAGAGTGAAGGCAGCTCGGTAGTAAAGGAAGCACAGCTAATACAGATATTCAGAAGAGGAACTTATTTTCACAAATTTTGTCTCAATTTCTCCTTCTTCTCATCTTCTGACTAAATTTCAAATCCTGTAGGTAGAGGGAAAAAAGTTTGGAAAAATGTCACGAAAATTTCTAATTTAAGAAAAATGTTGCTAGCTACTTGTTCTAGTGTTTATAGGAACTTTCAAATTCCTGTATTGGTGCATATTCTACCAGGAGATGGATATTAAAAAAATATATAAAAGGCACTCATTTTCAGTAACATTGTCGTAACTTGAGAAGCGTAAAATTCATCTCCAAAAGTAACCATGTAGGGGTTTCTGAACCAGCTCCACACTAGATTACAATCTGTGTCTTAAATAGTTTTGCTAGTAGAATTTAAAATCAGCTAGGTATTAACTCTTTTTATTATCAATAAATCACATGCCAGAATAGAATAATAATATGTCCTAATTTTTCTCCCGCTCCAAAGGGCTCTGTCCTTCTTCCTCCTCACCTCTCCCTCTGGAGAGGGTACTCCCTCTCTGGGTAAGCTCATCGGTAAACACAAACTCAACTACTCACGCTGATGACTCAAATCCACCCTTATGCTCCCTTCTGTCCAAACTCAAATCTCAGCCTGCTTCTCTGAATGTCTAGCCATCGGCTCAAGCTTAGCATGGCTCATCAGAGCTCTTAATCTTTCTTCTAAGCTCTCTTTGCTGCTGCTTTTCTCAGATACTGCGGCTAACAGCATTGTCCCGTCTGCTGCTTACACCTTGAACTCGCCAGCACCTTCAGACTGGAACTTTCCCTGCATTAGCTTCTCATATCAAGGCTCTGTGTAAATCTTGATCCATAAAACTTAAAAGCCATGACCCTCCTTACACACTCATACAGCTAAAATTAGCAGCCTAGTTTTCATCGTTTTGCATTTCTGTTCCCTCAAAACGTTTCTCCCTGGTTTTGACAAAGCGTACTTTTTCCACTCTTTGCTGATAACGTGCTTTTTCTATACTGCCTTTCCCGCCTGGGAGGAGCCCCCTGTAAACATATGCAACACTTCCATTGTGCACCTTCAGATTCCCCTGTGAGCCTTCAATTTCCACATTGTCTGCAAAAAACAGCTTACTGGTGTGCTGCAAGTGTTATACTACTCACAACAAACAATAATATATTATTGTTTTCCTCTACTTCCCTGAATAGAGCTACCTGTTGTTTCTTGTTTTCTACTTCGATAATAAACGTTATAGGGCACAGACCATCTTTGGGCTTATATGGAAGAGGACACAGTGAAGCTCTGGTCCTTGTCTACATTACAAGGACTCTGCAATATGAGAAATTCAGAAATTTCACATTCAGCTATATAAATGCTGGGAATGTGTTATTCAGCTACAGGACTAGATTTAATTCATGGTCTGTTAGGGGAGAGCCTAGAGTTATCCCTGAATGATAAAAAGTGAGTTTTCGATTCTTTACAGATATAATATTGTTACTTGGTGTCTGCCATGCTTTTCTTCACAGGCACATCCGGAACTGAAATCTGTCTTCTTATTTATTGTCTCCATTGTAGAAGTGCAGTAACAGTATTTTAAATGAATTTTTATATGGGATGGCTAGAGCACTACTGTATGTGGTAAACTAGCGTCAATGTAGTTTGCATTTCTGAGTCAAAGGTCACTGAACTGTATATAGTTTTCCTTCTTACTTTCTTTTCCCCATGTATTAAGAGGTTCTTCCCAAAGGTATGTGGAAGTCTAGCTTGGAAACATGTTTCGGGTGCTCTAACTCTAAAGTTTATTTTTTGTACCGGGATACACAGTCTCTACAGCATTATAACCTAAACCAAATATTTTCTGAGGTACAATAGAAAGCTCTGGTTTTTAAGCCATTCAGACACACCTATTTGAAAGTATTCAACATGGATAGAGATGATGACTGCAGAAGAAGATATTTCTAGTTGCGGAGTCCTTTTAAAAGGAGGTAAATCTGTTTTTCCTCCCGAGAAAAATATATCAGTGTCCCTATGTTCAGTGTATTTCAAATTCGGCCAACAAGTCATAAGCTGTTAACAGGAAGCTGCCATCTGTTTTCCTTGATGTCAAGATTAGGGGTGACATTCCTACCCCCTTGAAACCAGTGACAAAACTTCCTTTGACTTCAACAGGGAGAAGATTTCATCCAAAGCAAGAAAATGATTATCCTTACATGTTCAGGACTGAAAAGAATAAAAAGCCACCTTCCAATTCATACTTATCTCCATTTTCAGATACTGCCTTGTAGGGCTATTTTAACTGTCATCCTTTTCATTGTAAGGGTTATCTTGATAGCTTTTTTTTAATAGCTCCTGAAGACAGGAAATAGATTATAAAATACCTCTGCAGCATGCAACAACAAAAAAGAGGAGTTCAGAAAGACAAAAGCAAACATATATAGAAATAAACACTTCTCTTTCCATTTCATTAATGTGACTTTTCTCTTTTCGCACAAAAGGATCAATATAATTTCATTAAACAGAAAATGAAGCTTGTAAAAATTAACTTCTTTTTGCAGTTTGTTTTTGACGTATGTTGGGAGGAGATGGAGAAAGGTTGACTGAAAAATCAATGAAATAGGTGGAAATAAAAAGTAGGTGGAGAGACTCCTATTGACCTTGTTGGGCTTTACGTCACATCCCTGCACCACTGTTAAGTACTGTGTAGCAACAGAATTTCAAACTCTTCTAACTTTTCTGCAAGAGCTTTCTTCAGATGAACAGCAAAATACATATGAGCCATGGAGTCCCAGTTGAATTGTATTAGAATAGGATAAATTTCCAGAAATGCTGAAGGAAGTATAATTCAGTGTCAGGAATACACAGTGATCTGGTGGTTTAGTACACAGTGCGTAACCTTGCAAGCTCTGGAGGGCTCCCTGACAATTTATAAATACACCCAATCACTTCAAATTCAGTGGACATGCAGTATTCAGTATTTACCCAAGAACACAAGGGCCCCAATTTTCCTGTATGACTTCTAATGTTTGGCAAACCCTTCTTTTATTGTTTTAATTGCTACCAGTTAAAAACTGATACAATTATGAAAGAAAGAACAAAAGAACAAAAACAAAGGGTCATTTTCAAAAATTTGGCCATTAGCCTCTTCCAGAATTAGAATTTTTAATCATTCTTCACTTCACAAGGGTGGCCTGCATGTAATGGAGACTAAAATACCTTAACTCTCCTCTATCTGAAAATTGTCTTCAGTTTAAGAGACTATAGATTTTAACTGGATGTAGTGATGATCTAAGATGATCTCTGTGTTGCTACCCATATATCAGTTTAGATATGCTTCATTATACCATAATCAAGGTTTAGATTTGTCTACCTGATTAAATACTTTTTTGTAACTGCCATTTCATGCTAACTTCCCATGTGGCTATTTCTACTTTGCTTAACTGACTTCATAGCACCAAGACTGTGAACATACCAACACACAACCGCAGGACAAGCTACAGTACGATTCCGCAGCATGCCAATTACTTTAATGCACCCATCCCGTCACACAGTGTGCAGTGTAGCTTACCCCAGTGAAATATTGCTTTGCTTGATTGTACTTTCAAACATTGACCAGAACTACATCATGCAGTAGCTTCTGTAACTGCTATAATAAAAAAAATTTTACATTAAGTAATGTAGTTTATAATCCATCTCAAAAACCATGCAACCCTTCAATTATCCATAAATGATTTAAAAGTTTCAGAATTAAAGTGTACAGTAGATGAACATAAGTAATCAACAACTCACTGAAAATCAGTAGGACTTAGGCCCTTGAGTCAAGTGCTTTCAAAACAGAAATCCAGTAAGGCAGACACTTCCAGAATCGCATTCCTCTGAAACTGAGTTATTTGTACTCTTTAACACAGATAAATGTGTTTAATATTTAGTTGATGTTAGTGAAAGACTGAGGCTTTGCTGACACCTGTTGATAAATGTCTGAACAGCGGGACTGTTGTCTTACAATTACGAAAAAAATGAAAAAAAAAAAAACCATTTAAGAGAGCAAGAGTAAAGGTACTAACCTGAATTCTTTCTATAGCAGAAAAGTTTAAAGTCATTGTTGAGTCATAATGATAGAATGAGATTGGGGAAAGGATGAAAAGGAAAGGTAAAAACAAAATTTGCTGTTGGCTTTTTTGTCAGATCTTCCCTGACAAGGATGATGAGGTCACTTCCTACTGAGTCAATACACTACTTGCAGTGAGTCACTGTGGATGTGCTGACTAAGCTGAAAGAAATTTGCTAATGACTGGATGATCAGCAGAAGTATAACTAATATCAGCATAGACCAATGTGTGTTTTTCAAATGATCAAATTCCTACGAATAAGGGGCGTGATAAGATGATAAAGACTGCTGAGAGTTTTTCAAACGTTTGGAAGAGAATTTTTTGCTTATTCAGCAACTATCCTCAAAACTCAGCAGATATTCTCTCCAAGTTCTGATGGGGCTGTTTAGGCCCAACGAAGAGTAAAACTTTAACAAATTTTCGCTGGCTGCTACGGCACTAATCAATTAAGCTAGGCTCCAAAGTTTAAGTTTTGATTCAGTCCTAATATTAACCACGTTTAATTTTGTGTTGAATAAACATACTGACAAAGGGAAAACATTGATATATCCTTTGTAAGAAGTATTTCCACTGACAGACTGCATACTGCACTCCCTTCCTAACTGCAGGTGTGCATAGTCGCTTGTAAGAAAAACATGTTTTGGATAATGTTATAGACACCATGTAACCTGTATGAACTGCTTTTCTGATAAGAAAAGTTCAGACAGCATAGAATTGCTCCGTTTGCTATTGCTCACACATGATCCTTCCTCCTCCCCCTCCTGCCCCCTCAAAGAAACAAAAGAGGAATTTACATTAAAGAGAAATTTCACTTTTTGTTTCTGGCACTCACCTTTGAAAGAAAATTATGTCTTGTAAAATACAGACCCAGTCAAAGATCTTAGCTAGGACAACTCTGCATTTGAGTTTTGAGTTGTATATTCCCACCTTCTCTGTATCTAGGATAAATTGGAAGGTATTGTACTGGATGATTACTGTGATTACTGGATGCTTGCCAGCCCATTCAGTAATTATTGTGCACTGATTTGAAAGGGTTGCTGAAATCTAAAAAATATGGGCACTCCTCTAGGTCAACTGCACAATTGTGTGTAGTCACTCTGACCTCTCCTGGCAGACCAGAGTTCTTCATGTGTGTAAAGTACATCTGTCCAAAATTTTCAGTACTTGTCAGCTTGACTGCTTTTACAGCATGAAGTTAATCTGCGGACACATTGTGGAAATGTCTAGGATACTTGGATGTATGGCTGCTCTGTCAGAGCTACCTGCAATCAGTCTGACAAAGCTGCTAAATATCCAGAAATTCTGGGTAAACGTAAAATACTCACGTTCACCCAGGATTACATTTTCAGGCTGAAAAAGAAGACATTTTCTTCAGACTAATGGTAGCTCCGATTCAGATGCAAGTGCTATGCAAGGACTTTGCTTGTATGAAGTGAATTTGTAGTTGAGAACAGCTGAAACTCTCAGATCTACTGTGCACATACAGTCTCTTTGGGCAGCACACAGGGAAGCTGAATGCTTCGCAGAAGTATTGAACTAATTTTGCCTGTGATACAAGTTCCTGTGCATATATTTCTGTCCTGGAAACTCCGGACAGAAAGGGCAGTCTTTGTCTGTCAGTATTTATCTGAACAAGTTGCTCAGACAACTAGGAAACTTTTATCAGCATCGGGCATGTCAAGGCATTGCCATTCACTACCTTGCTGGTTACATGTTCTCAGCACCAGAACAAAAGTTATGGTTGGCAGCTAGTTGGCAGCTATGCTCCATCCTTATAAAAGTAGAAGAATAGTAAAAAAAACAGGGTAAGAAGGAAAAAAGACCAAGAGAAGAAAGAAGGATCAAGGAGAAGAATCCAAGACATGTAGGTGTTGTTTAGGTTGTAAATGAAGCTGATGAACTTAGTTACCCTTACCAATAGTGATCATTATTGACAAAGCTTGTTTCCTTATGCATACTCCACCCTCAACCTCCCCAAAGTACATCAAATAAGAGACAGTAACTCTTATCATTAAAGTAATCAATCAAGCAACATTTCTGAGTCTGTAACTATCAACAGGCGATTCCGTTTCTGCAGTATTTCAGATCGTTGTCATGCCAGCCTGTCACTTTATTAGGAACTGTGAACCTTCTTTGGGTGATTCAACCTCGTGTGTCAAGCTAATTGTCTCCAGCTTATTCACAGAGTTTAAAACATTACTCCCGCCACACATACACACAAGTATACTTTGGATAAGTTCAGAGAAAATCCTCCGCCCACTAACACAATGATTTTGTGAGGGCTGCTAGTGGTAATTTTGAAGCAACCGTCATTTTGAGGAAAAGCAATTTAGCCACACTGCTAGCCGAAGAACCCACCCGTCTTCCGCACTTCTCCATTCTTTTTGTGGTACGAGAGCCAACTAGGTCACCACCTGGGAGGAAAAATGGTCAGAAGCAGGCTGCTGACACAGGAAAGACAGTTGTAAAGCACCTGGCTGATGAGCCCAGACTTATCCTGTACTGGGTGCACTTTCCAGCAGCCCAGGCAAGCAGCCCAGGGGCCCAGGAGCCCTGCCACGCGTCTGGAGCCGCGGTCGCTCCAGTTGGCTCGGGCGGCAGCTCGACCACCATTTTTACAGTGACATGGGGTATGCGGCAGCTTCTAGAGAAGCGCTTTTGCTGAGAACGCACTGGCGACTTGGGTGGACCCGTTCTGGAGCTGCCCTGAACCCCAAACTGCAAAAGGCAGCTCGGCACAAAGGGCAGCTCCCCGGTTGGGCCTCATCCTCCCCCACACCCACGGATGAAATCACAGCGCCGAAGCAGGGGAGCTGCGAAGTGTAAAAAAAAAAAAAAAAAGAGAATGAAACCCATGATTTTATTTTTTTTTTTAACCAAAGATTTCACTATAAGGAAGCCTAAACCCGTTAGCCGGGTGGCGAGAAGAAAAACACCCCGTCCGCCCGCTCACGGTGCGCCGCTCGAGGCGAGGAGGGC